CAATATTTAGTCATGTCTAGCAGACTTTCAGCAGTTGGAATTCTTGTTGAAAATTGTCCCTATGTTATTATCTGAAAGCACTAGAGCTTAACAACTTCCATTTCTATTAAACTATTAAGATGCAAAACTGCCACTGTCGAATAGATGTAATTTTTAGCTGTATCCGATAATTCGTGCCGCAATTGAACTTAATCAAATATATGTTGAAAGAGATTGAGAAATTTTCAATAGGAAATTGACTTTGACGCTATGCAGCACCACAGCTTCTTTAGAAGCTTACCTTCCCTGTACATGCATTGGCTTTCTTCATCTGAATTATTACCCATGATGGTTTGGCGTAGGTTCAGTTTTCTACCTGTATGTATATAGTCCTAATCATTCTGCCGGAAAATCGCAACATGAATCTCCAACTATGATTAGACCTTCTAGTCAGGGTTTTTAGCCATTTGCTCGCGTACTAGCTCTATCACTTACCAATGATGAACTTGTCTAACTGTAAAGTAGGAATCAAGCTCAAATGGATTCTTTTTTTTCTAAATATTTATTCGCAGGTTCTGCAGTGTCTATTGTTTCTGAGATAGAGTACCACAATCTTTTAAAACTCCTTCAGCTGAGGCCAACACGCATTTATTTGAAAACCTACCCTGGTGAGTAGCTACCGTTGTTGGGGGAAATTCAAGTGACTGTGAAGTATCAGACTCAAGAATTGACACTGCCTCTGGTTGTTACTCTAGGTGAGAAGCCTATGCTACTATGCCTCTAGCAGTTAGAATTCTTGTTTAAAAATTGTCCCTCTGTTATTGTCCGAAAACATTAAAGCCTAACAACTTCCATTTTTGGTAAACTCTTACAGATGCAGAACTGCCTAATGCTTAAGGAAATGCGAAATATAAAATGCTTTCATGGTTAAGATTTCTGATTTCTTTCATTCCTTCACAACACTGTGTGGTCTTCCCATACATTCAACTTCTCTTTGAGATTGAGCATGGCCATTGGATGTCGTTGATAATATCCCTGTCGACAGACATAATGAAAGAGAGACTCTATATAAGCTAAGTCCCTTTTGCCGCTCTTTACCACTCAGAGCGGTGTGGCAAAAATCAACTTTACACGCATTGGTCTTCTTAATCCAGGGGTGTAGCCAGGATTTTTCAGAGGGGGGAGGAGGGGTCACACTGTGTCAAACAGCGGGCACTCATCAGATTGTCGTGTCGACCTCCTCGCGTGAAGGGTCACGTTTACCTCAGGATTCCTCTAGCCGCGCCCTTATAATCTGAATCTGTTACCCTTTATGGTTTGGTGCGGGTTTAGTCATCTTCAGTTGATTAAGTACAAAGCGTTGATTTAAGTAGAAAAATGCTAATTATGATAAATGGTGACAACAAGAAAGTGGCAAAGCATGAAAGTGTGAGAATTAAAAGGATAGTTTAAGATTTACATGGTGCAATTGTTGATTCAAGGAGGGTGGTTCTCTTTGAATATGAATAGCCTCTTTTATCTTAAGTTGAAAACCGGTAGAGGCGTGATTCAAAACATGGAAGCTGTCTGCTGAACACAAAGCGCGACAATGTTCAGAATTAATCTTGCAGATGTTTGAAAATGTGAGAGGCCCTGTCACTGGCTAAGTGTTCTCTAACACGCGTGGAAAGATGCCGGAACGTTTCGCAGACGTAACAGGCATTACAGCCAGCACATACAAACTTCTAAACCACACGTGAACGGAGCCCGTCGGGGACAGGGTATTTCACACCAAACAAGTTACAAATCTTGAAAAAAGAGAAAACCAGCTTGATATCCAAGTGATTGCAATAGCGCTTAATAAAACGGCGAATCTGAGTGATAGCAGAAAAACTATCCATGTAGGGTAACTTAAAGTAAAACGAAGGTGAATTGGTGGGAAGAGAACATCGGGGATGATGATTGCTTTGTCCCAGTGATGTAACGGTTTATAACCTTTTTGATTAAATGGGCAAGGAAAAGATTCTGTTTTAGAATATCCATAAGCTTAGTAATGTCCTTGTGAAACCCTAACCAGGTGTTATTAATCTTATAGGCTCTATCAAGCAGGTTAATCACAAAATTACCCTTTTTAGATGTCTTGGTTGATGACAATGACCCCAATTCTTCTCTAACTAGTGTTTATCGCAAGAAAACTTTCACTGGGTTATTAACTAATTATTTCAGCTTCACCTCGTACTCTTTCTAAGTGGGTCTCACTAGGGCTCTCGTTGATAAAGCCTATAAGATTAATGACACCTAATTAGGGTTTCACGAGGACATCACTAAAAGCCGGCTCGAAGATAAACATGAAACATAGGACAGCGGTATCTGTTTTGAGCTTAATTCGAGCCCCGAGCCTCGTGTTCGGCCTTGGATAGGAAAAAAACAAAGAAAAATGATTTCTTTTCGACAATGTTGCACAAGAATACTAAGGCAAGTAAGAATTAGTCGAAAGGCAAAGAGGCACGTTGTTCGAAGGCATTTTCTGCCTAAAGCTACCGGAAAGGTATCTGTATTTAGCGAGGGACTTTCACCAAACTATGTCTTCGAAACAGTTCTAAACATTCTACGCTCAGGGCAACTACAAGAAGAAATCCATGGTAATTGCCTGAGGTACCACATCGTGTTCAACTACGCAGTGGGAACCTCATTAAATGGAAGTCGAAGCAAGTGTATCAGAATCGTTTGTACCACTAGAAGATGTACGATTGCAACTTGTCGAAGAACTCTACCCTTAGAAATCAAAACCATATATCCTATATAAAGTCCACTTTGTCATCTCACATCGACAACGAAAGTGCGAGTTAAACTAGTTTCAAAATGTGTATCAAACTATAATGGAACTTCGTGGTAGCGGTGTCGTAAAGCTTCGAACAGTTTTATTGGAATCAGCTACTTTCTCGAACTGAAGTATAAAAATATAGCTGTGTTTTTAGTTGCAATTTTTCATTAGACTGTGATTTTAAATACAATCTGAACTGCAATTGTGTCTGTGATTCACGAGTACGGCATAGACTGCAATTTGCAGTCAGTAAATATGGCGTGGAGTAACACGTAATCCACCACAACATTTCCAAACGAACAAGATGATTTTTATATAAAAAAAATTCATAGAATGGTTTGCTGAGAAACAAAATCCACAACTCCCATTTCATTAAACTGAAATCTACTCTAGTGTTCCAGAAGTAAGCAAAGTAATCGGATGTTCCAAAATTCAGTCAAACTCGATCATCAACAAAGTACATAGCCATACGTGTCCATTAATTGAGCGCAAGAAACCTCCAAACTTTCCCTTAATTATTTGACTGAAATATCATGTAAATAAAGCCTGTTTCTTGTTGTACAACTCCTTCAACCTGGGTTTTCCAAACTAATATCAAGTTAGTATGTGTGGCCTACTTCCAGCAGTTAGAATTCTTGTTTAAAAATTGGCTCTTTGTTATTGTCCGAAAGCATTAGAGCTTAACAACTTCCATTTTTGGCAAACTCCTACAGAGGCAGAACTGCCTAGTACTAAAGGAACTCGTCAATACCTTTTAGTTTCCCATACCCCCACTGTCGAATGGACGTAATCTAAAGCTAAACGAGATAATGCATGCTGCAATGGAGCTTAATCATCTACATGTTCATTTCTGAAATCAAGTTAATAAGAGGCATTTTCCCAACATGAACCATGTGTAACCAGCAGAGTAAAAAAATATCTTTGATGATTTGGTCGCCCCTGGCCTGTTTGAATTATGTGAAATATGAATTGCTTTCATGGTTAAGAATTCTGATTTCTTTCATTCCTTCACAACATTGTGTGGTCTCCTCAGAAATGTAACTTCTCTTTGAGATTGAACATAGTCACAGGATGTCTTTGATGATATCCCTATCAACATACATAACGAAAGAGACTCTTTATATGCTAAATCTCTTTCGCTGCTCTGTACCACTCAGAGCGGTATGTCAAAATCAACTGTACACTCATTGGTCTTCCTAATCCAGGGGTGTAGCCAGAATTTTTCAAATGGGGTGGGGAGGGCGGTCACACTGTATCAAATAGCGGGGTACTCATTAGATTGTGATGTCGACCTCCTCCCCTGAAGGGTCACGTTCACCCCAGGACTTCCCCTTTGCTACGCCCTTATGATCTGAATCTATCAGCCTTGGGGGTTTGGTGTGGGTTTGGTAATTTATCCGTATGGATAAAGTCATACTCATTCATCCAGAAAAATTGCAGCAATTTATATTATCAATTTAGTTGATAAAACCAAATTATCTTGTACTACCCCTACTGATGCAGCGTTACAGTTTCTTCAGAAGCTCACCTTCCCATTGGTTTTCTTCATCTGAGTCGATAACCCATGATAGTTTGGCGTGGGTTTGGTTTTCTACCTGTATTTGTAAATTCCTAATCATTCGTCCAGTATGCGTAACCGAAAAGTAAGAGCCAAGCTCTAATATATCGTTATTTTTTCTTGATATCCATTTTTAGATTTGTTTCACGGAACTGGAGTAACTCTGGATGAAGCAAATGTCGGAGTCATCCACTACATAATGACGGAGTAACATGCAGAAATGCTAGGACCATTATTTAAGATCTTAGAGGTTTTGTAATGCATTCTGCACATACCTTCGGACATATGTTATGGGGTGTGATCCTTCCTTTTTCTGACAGCTTCTCAAAAAATATATAACTGGGAATAATTAACTGATGTGAAAGATGACGGTAGTCAGTGAATGACACAGCTATACTCAGTGCAAAGAACTCCGATTGCTTCCTCAAGGAGTTAAACCTATGACGTTCTGATTAGCACTTCAGACTTGTGGCATGCTAGTTCGTTACGATTAACCAGGTCCATGGTAACAAACCTCCTGCAATCTTCTGTGATATGTGATGCCTCTGCGCAATGGTGATGATAAAGCAGATGGTAAATGCTTGAACCTGGTGATTTCCAAGAGAAAGATGATGTTATTCAGTGAATGGCACAGTCATATTCAGAGGAAAAGAACTGTGAGTGCTCCCAATAGGAGTTAAACCTACGTCCTTCTGTCCCAGGAAGCTGTAAAATCTGAAATCTCAGGATAAAGAAGAAATTTGCAAGGTTGCGTTTAACAGGGGCGCTTTCGCGCGTGAAGGACATCGTTTCCAGGGCCTCATCGGAAAATGGATTTAAGCAAGATGGCGGCTGTAATGTGTGCTCTCACTGATAAGTAGCTGCTTTTGAATGCTAAACGGAACAAAATCGAAACCGATGAACCGCAGAGCACTTATTGGAAAACTTAAACACTTTGATGATGGGGTACGTTCCCTTTTCGAGCAAGCGACGGATTCATGTCAAAATCTTTATCAAACATACACTGGAGATGCCCTAGATCTTCGTGAAATTCAAACTTATCCAGAGTGGAAGGTTCAAATGTGTTTCAGAAATTTGAGGAAGCATCACAGAAAGCGATCTAGACAAAGTATAATATATATATTGCCTGTCGGCCCCTTTCCAAAGGTTTTACGGACGCCAATTGAGCGTGGAAGTGTCTCCACTTTCGAATTGATCAGGAGATTTGTGAGTTGCTACTTTTTCGGAATGACCGTCAAATTTTTGGAAGAGATTGCAGTCACGAAGGTGAATTGTAAACAGAGATTTCATCCAGTTACTGGGAAACTGCAGTTGTTAGTAACAGGTCAGAGTATATGAGATTGTACTATTCACGTTTTCAAACTGATCTTGTCACACATCTCAGTTAGTAAGGTCTGAAACTGGTATGATTGGTCAATTTGCACTTGGGCCATTAAAAATATAAAACTTGGTTCCTTGGACCTCAAAGCTCCGCCAAATTCAAAATTTTTTTAAATTGAAATCTTCTATGTAAACACCAATGAAATTTATTTCACTTTATTTCTTTTTAAAAGAACATGGAAAAGTAATTCATCTTTTCCTTTATATAAGCTTTCTTGGTATTTTAGAAAGTATTTATTTCCTTGATTGTAATATTACCACCAACTAGGTGTCTCAGTTCCAGAATCAATGTACTTTTGGAGAAATGAAGATAAACATTTCCCCTGTTTTACCCTACAGTTAAAGTGACTGAAACTATACTGAGATAAATAATTGATCAGTGTGTTTACATTTACTCTTGAGAAAACTGGATGCATCAGAGTAAAGACAATGATATGTAAACATTTCAAACTTTTTTTTTGCAATGTTTTTGTATGAAATTGAGGCCTCCAGGCTTCAAAAAAGCTGCAGTTGTTACCATGGAAACAAGAGTGCAACCTGTAAAAAAGGCATTCTTGTGCATCCCCCCTGGGTGCCTAACTTTGTGCAAAACGTAAAAGGGGGGTTGAAAATTTTTCATTTCCAGAGATGTTTGAATCTTACAGACTAGTTCTGAAAGTGCTCAAAGAGAGGAATGGCAACAATCAAAAGATTTCCCTGTTATTTACAATAAAATTTTTAGTACAGGTAAAAAATACAATTTCCAGTTAAATTTTAAGAGAAATCTCTTTGTTTCATCCAACTTTTTTATAAGTGCTACCCTTGACTAAGCACCTCCCTCAAGTGCCGTGTAGCATATTTAAGTAAAAATGTTATGTTTACTCTTTTGACCCCAGTAGTGACCAGTTTGTATACATTCCTTCTACACAAAAGAAATTTTCAATCAAGTATGGAAAGTAATCTGGAATCGCTCAATAGTTCACTTTAACTTTTTGTCTTTCTGTGATTAGTCTCAAAAATTGTTTGCCAAGTTTTCAACCAATCAGATACAAAAACCAAGGCCAATTTCAACTTGGTTACTTGGGTTTTCCCATACTTTGGGTAGTTTTCTTATTTTTAGTTGGAGTTTTCAATGGCCCTTTTACTATTTCCTTTGTTATAACATGATTGGCTGTTCTTACCACTCTGATTCTGGTCTTACAACACTTGATTGCAAAGTGCATGTATTTGGTTTTGACAGATAGCATAAGGATAAAGGGAGTAAGTTTCTAAAGAAACTGTTAGCAAGGTTGTGTTTGTGGCTGGCGTGGCAAGGGCTAATGCAAAAAAATTAAGCCTTATAAACTCTCTACAATGGCCAATTAAAAAAATCAACACAGTTCATAAAACAAAGTTATCTTGTAACACTAGTTCTTGGCACTTACATGTACTAATGGGGGAGTCTACTGTTATTTTAAGTCAATGGGAATAATTAGCTCTGATATTGTGGGCTTAAAAGAGAAAGGGGAAAAAAGAAAACAAAACATTTGTATAAATAGTCTATTCACTTTCAAATGCAATAATACAGTATCCATTGCTTGTCTTTCAATGCAGTCCCTTCATTGTGGATTGCAACATTTTTATTACTTGTTGCTGATCTTCTTTAGGCGATAAAGTTGATTGCTTGATATGCACCATTTGTTGAACACATGGTAGGAGCCTCATAACTAGTCCACATCATGATTTAATTAAAGAAGACTGTAGCATAAAGTTGAAATGTTACAGTCCATACTGGAAGTGACTTTGTTATGTGGCAAGCAATAAATCCTTTCTTGTCACAACTGTATCTAATCATAATATATGATCAAATGTCTTTTTACTCTAATTTCAGATTTGATGCACTACTTGAAAACTAGTCTCCCTGCAGATGGTTACTGCATCATTGGTCTTACATGGGTGGATCTTTATCCTGGTGAAGATTGGAACTTTGTTCTAGGCGAATCATCATGTGAGGATGGTTGTGCTGTGGTTAGCTTTGGTCATTTTGAGCCTCAGTCCTACCAGTATAAACATTTAAATGATACAACAAATCAGAACATTGCAGGAGTGCAATGTGACAAAGCTGATGGAACTATTTCCTCAGTCTCTTTTGAGAGGAATGGTCATGATGATGTAAGCCTTTACCTGGAAGATTTTGCAGATATAGAAAAAGTCAATAAAAAGATCATTTGGAGACTTCTAAGGGTAAGATGTTCGAAGATGAACATACTCTGCTAGAGTGTACATTTATCAAATATAGGTAAAACTTGATTGCATCTAATCATACTTTGTTCTTCATGTTTCCAGCCTTCATTAATTAATATTACACATAAGCAACCAAGATTCTTTGGGTCTGTGAGAGTATGGGTGGGTGAGACAAGTTACGTAATGTGGTACTCAGAAAACCATTAATAGTTCAGATTGATTCTGACTACAATTGTGTCCTTAAAATTGGAAACTTAAATTTCTGTTGTTGTTAGTAGTTTAGTTTCTTATGCCCAGTTGGCTTTATCCTTGAAACTCAACAGTGCTCCATAAATATTTCCAGTGTTCAGGATTATCTGACTCTTGCTTCTTTCTTTAAATCACCGTGTAGTTCATAAATGAGAAGTATTGGTGGGAAAACATAGCAAAGCTGTGGAAGCCTACTGTCATGACAAAATTTGTTGTTGTCAACATATTAAGCATTGTTTTAATTTCATGTTTAGATGGCAAATTGCAAGGCGTGCCCCATGTAAGAGGGTAGCAAAGGGGAGGGGGGTTGGGGGAGAGAGAGGTCCAGATCCCGTTTCCTGCACAAATTTTAAAACAATTCATTTATCATGTGCTTTAAACAGTACGTAATCTTGTGCATCAAGAATTGAAAAGGTGAAACTTCAAACCTCACTATACCTTGGCTTTCTGTAAAATTCACACATTCTCCGTTAGTCTTAAGCTTAATCACGCTGCACATATAAACCGTTTGCCACCCTCATAAAAGCTAAATTGGGATTCAGTCTCAGAGAGAAAATGGAACTTCAGGCTATACTTTAAGCTTTGCTGTCATCTTCTTTACCATAGATATCAATTTTGTTTGTTTTCAGGTATCAAGCCATGAAATATGTCATGTGTTTGGAATGGCTCACTGTTCATATTTTGCTTGTGCCATGAATGAGAGTAAATCAGTCCTCCAAGCAGAAAATCAACCTTTATTTCTTTGTCCAGTTTGTTTGCGTAAACTACAAAAAGCTGTTGGCTTTGATGTTATGGAAAGGTACACTGGCTTATGTATCCTTCTAGAATATGTCATGAATGAAATACTTTCTAAAGATGATTATTGCCACACCGAAGACACATCATTACAAAATACTGAAGAATGCAAATTTGTAATGGCAATCAGTTGGTTGAAATCAGTGCTTAAGTTTATCAAGAGGAACAATGATATAAACTCCACTAGCAATTAGGGCTGTTTGGACCAAAAAATTGTGTAATTCAGGTCACTGGATATTAAGCGATTTTTCCCTGACTGCACACTGGATACAAGATGATGGATGACAAACAAAATCTGTAGGGCCAAGTTGGCTATAACCATCTCATATCCAACAAGCGCAAGTAAAATAATTTCTTTATGAAAAATGCCTCAAAATAGAGATAAATCTTCCTGACTTTATTTCATAAACTTTATTTTCTTATGTAATGGTTCATAATCCATGATGGCTAAGCAAATGAAAACTCTCAAATTGTATTATCCATTGATCCAGTGTTTAAAAGGAGAACATTTCCTCCAACCTCACAAGGCTGACTAAACTGAAAAATAGGCTATTATCTTCTCCTTCTTTCTTTTCCATAGGCCCATGTTTTACACGATTTTTCTCTCCATTTAAGTGATTCACATTTTTATTTATCATTATCACCTTTGCAGGTAGCTGTAATTCTCTCATAACTATTTTCATGGTTTTCTTCATTTTTTAAAGAGCCAGATAGAATTTAATACAATTTTTTTTAAGTAGATTCAAATCAGTGTCAATTAAAAGTATTGTCTTAGGATCAATAAATCATTTTTAAGAAACGTGATGTGGGTTCCAGATCCTTGTCTCGATGCAGTCCATGCCATTCCAAAATTTCTCAAGAGTATAGCTTAATTAATTTTATCTTGAATCGATCAGAGAGGACTGTCAAGAAAACAACAAAGTAAACATCCCGTTAACAGTTCTTGATTCTCACCCAAGTCGTGCCTTACGCATGCGTTTGCCTTTATTTGCTTGATTCGTTCGTAGTTGAACTGAGCACAGAGACGCATTCGGAGCGAGATGGCTAAAAGATCGCCTTATCGTGCGTCCAAAATCGAAAGCCGGTGGATTTTACAGTGAGAAAACCCCCTTGTTTCAAGACCACTGGTGATTTGACTATGAATCCAGGCAGACTTCGCGGTTATCTATCGACGAAATCTGCCCTTTTGATAAAGGAAGGCTTTACTATGGATAGATTATGACCTTCAAAAATCAAAAATCGTTCCTTGCATGAGGGAAAATGACTGATCTTAAAGTCTGGGTGGATGGTGTACCGCGAGTTGTGCGTGGAGCACAAGAGGATACTACATGTGAAAATATTTTGTTCGCTCTAGCGAGCGCCACGGGTAAGCTTGGAAGATTTGCCTTGGTCGAAAAATGGCGAGATCTCGAAAGGATTTTGCCGCGAGAGGCGAAACCGCTCAAGTGCTTGCAGATGTGGGGAAAGCAAGCGGGCGAAGTCAAGTTTATTTTGAAGTTAATGAAAGACAAATCAAAAACGAAGGAGAGCAAAGTAGGTACTGAAGAACACTCCGAGGATGAAGAGAACTTAACGAGTGACCCTTTTCATCGATCTTTCGAACGGAAGACTTTGGAGAGAGTCGTCGCTAATCAGACGAATAAGTTGAAACGTCTCACGCGCGACCTGGAAATCATACAGTTGCGAATTGACAGTTGTGTCGACAACGAAGAAGATTATCTTTACTTCACCGAAGAGGAAATCACCGAGGATCGTATCACAAAACTCGGACAGGTTCTGAAATTGCAAGCCAAGGAATTATCCGTGGAAGGAATTTGTGCAAACGAACTCGCGAAAGAACGAACACGGGAGGAAAAACTCCAGTTCGAACTTGAAGATCACCGAAATAAACTTCACCACCTAGATGTTCACATCTCCGATTTAGAAAGCGTCGGTACTAAAATTTATTCCATGCGAGCTCCTCAGGACAGGAACATTGACAATGGTTCACAGCGAATCGGCGTGAGTGATCTGGAAGAACTAGCTCAAGAAATATCGATAACAAGAGAAGAGCTGTCAAAGCAAAGAGAACTCGCTGATCGACAGAGCGAGGAAGTTGAAAACATTGAAAAGTCGTTCTCGGAATTAGAACGGATCGCGCGCCAAAAAACTCTACAACTCGACTCGCTGAAAGGTGACTCATCATCAGAAATTCGCTTATCTTATTACGATTTAGACAAAAATCTACAATTAGACACCGCAAAGGATATTCCGTTAAATGGCGTGGATGATATGCTTTTATCGCCTGATAAAAGCAAATTAACTGGTTCTGTGGCTTCTCAAACACCATCCCGAAATGGGACACAAAAAGATGATTCGTCACATGGAGCTGTTTCTTCTCATAAATCTCCTGTCCGACAGAGAATTGGGGCATTTGATAGCCCTGATGATCCGGGAGTTTTTGTCTAAGAAAAACGTGGTATGTACATCTTTTCCTTTTTCCATTTTATTTTTTTCCATCTGATTTCTGAATTTATACACAACAATTACTTCGATGTGTATGAGAAACAGTTTAGTGTTGTTTAGAGTTTATCGTTCCATGCATGACGTCATAGTCGTGCGGAGAGGGGTAAGGTACGTCTGGCAAATAATTTTCAAGTTAAATATAGTAATTTTCGCTCGTAGACAAACCTGTGTCTTCATCGGCTCTGTCCAAGGATACATCAATATACATATTTTTGTTGTTTTTTTTTTCTTATTCAATAGTTTGTCTTTGGTTGGGCATATTTAGTTTCATTTTGTAAATTTGGGTCTGAGATTTTCTAAAAGTTTAACTTTCTTTTCCAATCCAAAACCTTACCCCCTATTGGGCTACCTGTTGGGATGATGTTTGAAACTGATAAATAAATTACTTTTATCATTATTATTATTACTGGTACTATACATACTTGGAACATCAAACAAATATAAGAAATTTTTTTAACTTGATCCCTGTGATAATAAACTTTTTGACATCACACTCACATCTTATGAAAATCCTATATGGACTAGTTTTATATGAGAAGAGATTTTTCTGGATTGGTAAACAATGGAAATTGAATGTTTCCAAGGGTGTTTGGATTCATTGTACTGTAGATCCCACTCGAACAGTATTCAAAGTTTGGACTGTTCTGTTCATCACCAAATCCATTAGCTGTCTGCCCGGAACCAGATATCACTATCAGGTCTTTCAGCTGCATTAATTTTAGCCCTGTACGGAACTAAGTTCAATTAAAAATTGTCCTTGAAAGAAGTATATTCACTGAGATAAAAATTATTCCAAGAACCAGAAATAGTTTGTATTCTCCAAACAAAGGTACCTTTGATTGTAATTATTTGGGGTCTCTAAATGCCCAGAATGATTGAAAAGGCTTCGTAAGTTTATATTTTGTTAGGAGATGAGGATTGCCTTTTTAACTATGTGAGAAGACTTGAACAAAGAAGGCCAAAAATCTGCAGATTTGCGAAAGAAATGTTTACATTACTAAACTTTCCAGATTGAAAATTGTTTGCACACCATTTAACGGTAGACCTTAAGTTTGACCCTTTCCATGTTTAAAGAAAGATTTAGTGCAGTAAATACTTTTTTCCTTTCCAGAGTTATTGCTTGCAAAACTGAAGTTCTGTTTTGTATTCGGTTCCACAGGAGAGTTGCTTACTGCTACTTAGAACTTCACTGGGATTTTTCCTGTGTCATTGACCCAAAAACTGATCATGCCTCCTGGGAAAAATTCTTAAAAGATTCTTCTCTTGTCAACCAGAAGTAGTATTCTTCCTAATAAGAGCAGAGAAGTCATCTTTTTAACTAATGAATGTATCAAACACCAGAGTTATATTAATTTAAGAGTTGCAAGTTGATTTAAGTGGATTTTTGTGGCCCTTTTGTCCTTTCTTAAGATGAAGGAGTGTTTCCATGCCAGGATGACGTGAGACACTTTGGACAAGCCAAGTGAAATGAATTTAAACAAAGTTTTTCTGTCTCAGAATCCTTCAAGGCTGCTAAATATTATGTAAGTAATATGTGCACTCTTTAGAGCTTGTGGTATGTCTGTTTGTTTACATGAAATGCTTGCTTGATGGATAATTTTCTTGTTTTCCTATTAATGGAAACACTGTCATGTTTTTATGTTTGATCAGGACAGTATCTTAAGCATATTATTTTCTAGACCAAGTTGAATATGTGAACTCTTCAATCTCAAGTATCTAAAGCAAATTTGACCATATATTTCTTTGGTGGCTCTTCCTGATGTAATGCTCTAGGCTGTTATTCTAATTGTTGCAACCAAATATGCTGCAAAAGACACTAGTTTGGTAACTCTTTCTTTTCCTGGTGACTATTTTGGTGATTTCAGGTCCTGAAATTTGACTTTTGGTTGAGTGGGATTTGGAGTCCTTTTATATAATGTGTTTTTATGGCATTTGAAATTGTAAATCCAAGCAACATTTCTTTGTTCTCATCAGCCATCCAAGTATGTGACTGTGGATTAAACCTTATATTTAATTTTAATTTTAGTATTTGAAGGGGAACATACTCATCACAACTGTTGGTGAAATAAGATGTTCTTTCTTCCATGTCAAGAAAATTTTTTTAAGATATAGCTAAATATGTTTTGTTTATTAAGGGTGACAGCAAAAACTCATAAGTTGGCAGGAAGAAAATTCAAGAGCACGAAAAAACTCAACATGGAGAGGGGAACTGGTTGTTTCAACAAGGCTTGGAGAGAGTTATAGTACATTTGATATTCCTTTAGTTTTGTGTATCTGTATTGAACGAAGACATATTTGTTGATCTTTCAGTGTGGAAGGTTTCAGATTTGGAGGAAGGAAAATAACCAATCCAGTCTTTTGACATATTTTTGACAGAACTTAGTTTGAGTTTGGATGAACAAGCAAGGATCATAATGAGTTTGCTGCTCTTGAAGATGTGTTTAATGCAAATCATATTGCCTAAAAGGTATTGTTTGTTGCAATGTGAAATGATTTCACATGATTGTGATATAGTGGTGGGGGAAATGTGTATGTGTTGAAGCAACAAATGACAAATTTAGAGAAATTTACAGAAACTAGGAAATGGTTGAAGGAACTCTAAGCATTGTTATTGTGTTAAAAGAAATATATCTGCAGTTTTAATTTGATAAAGGTTAAAGTAATATCATGAATGAGAGAATTAATTATTATATTATGATTCCTTTTAAAAGTTGTAAGAGGAAGAAACATTTTTTTTGTCAATAAGATTTATTTAAATTTATTTATGGGAGGAAGTTGAGTGAATTTTATAATAAATTATTACCTCAAATCAGTCATTTAAAAATTTGCCATAATTATAGCTTATCTTGATACTCATTGTGTGAGCTTTTGTTAACTGAATTTAAATTTCTGAAATAAAGAAATATGTTTATCTAAATTTTATAAATATATTTAGACTGTAGAAAGTGTTAATCATGTATGGATTGGTGGGATGGGGTACCCAACAGTCCAGTGCCTGGAGTGATATTATCTAATGAAATGTAGCAATCATGGAGCATATTGCCAGCTTCCATTGGTGATGATGGCCAGAACTATTTGTTCTTTGCATCTCTTGCCTATAACTAGTTCCAATACCCAGCTCTTCTCTCTATCACCAAGGGAAATCTGCAAAGTGTCTGGAAAGTACTTCACTGGGTTAAAAGAAAGGAAAAAGAACTGAATAATACTACATAAATGATAAAGAAACAGAAGAAATCATGCATTTTTTCTGAAATAATAAAGTGGTGCTCCTCATTGAATTTCAATTGTCATGTGTCCAACAAGAAATGGAAAGGAGACAGAATTTTTTAATTAGTCATTCGTTATCTGCAGCCAGTACCCAGGTAGCACCCTATCCTACCCTTTAAGGGACTGTCCATTATTTAGAGGTTGTGGAGGCTTGGTGTGAATGGAAAGAGCTCATGCCCAAATCCTCTTGACCTTACCTTTTGTGAAGCATAATTACTCCTGACTATTCCCAGCACATACCTATCAATTCATGGTTTTGATCAAATATCCATACCCAATATGAATGCATGAATTTGGCTCTCTCTCTCTTTTTACCAACATAGAAGTCAGTGCATGATCCTGTCTTATGTAAACAAGCTGTCCCATTTGCTAGAGAGAATCTTGATGGCTTAAAGCATTGTGGCTAAAGAAAGTTTCATGTGTCAGCAATAACTGTAGATTGGTGCTAGCATAGAAAAACAATTGCATGTTTGAGATCATGGATTTTGGTTCCTGTAGTCAGAGGTGGTGTTTTTAATTTAAACATCGAATCACAGATATCATAGCACGCTGGAAGTGCTTGTCAGTCATTCAATCATCATCTCTCCTGGTGGAAACTCTCTGTGCTCAAAGAATGCCAATGAAGCCTTCACAGGGTCGTAAATCATCCATCATTTCACCAACAACGCCAATTAATTACACACTGTGAAGTAATTTTCTGAAGTTCTTTCTTTAAATCATTGTTCCAAAATAATTTGTTTTTCCTTAGATTCATTAGAAGACAATAGCGTCGCGCATGGCTGCCTTTGTATGAAACTTACACCCTGCCTCGAAGCCGTGCTCTGATTGGTCATGCAAATATGAATGTTTTGTGTGTCTGTCTCTTGAGAACAGCTCCCATGTGCTCTTGCAGTCATTGCCTAGATACGGTTTCGACGCTAAGTAAAAAAAAACACAAGAGAGTTTTGAACGATTGGCGATCGATCCTCTTCTGATGGAAGACCACTGCATGGAATCACAGTGAAATCTTCCTTCCGTTGGCGCGTGCGTTGGGAGTAGTTTTTTTTCGTGAGAGGTTCGAATTCCATCACTTGTTATTCCCTAAGAGTCCGCGAACACTTGGGCAGACAACTTGTAATGTACTTACAACTTGAACTTTAGTGCCCTACGATCGAGGAACTCAGCTCTACAGACGAAAAAATAACTTTGATTTTCGTAATCTCGTTGGGATATCAACGACTTGTTGGCTTTTCGGTGAAAGTAACTGCAAAAGTCAACGTTTTGTTTAACTTTGACTCTCCCTAGCGACAACATTTTGTTACAAATTGCGGAGGAATCTGATTTGTGTGTACTCATCCTATTTACGGCTCGTGTTCTTCTCGGTGAGCTACACAGTAATATGCGAAATCGGCTTTTCGAATAATTGAGAGAACTGTCGAAACTACTTCTAAATTGTGGTCGACAGGATATTAAAAACATTCAGTTATCGCGGCAGGGATTCCGCAGTTGTTAACATTCGTCTTTAATTATTAAATTTGTTTGCTTGGAAGGTCTAGTTTACTTAGCGACTTGAGGACTTGACCATTTAGTTGCCAAGACACCAACGAGGAAAGATGACTACTCGGGGTTCGCCGATTCTTGTGCCTCGTTACATGGAGAAAGATTATCTCCAGAGTTTAAACGATCGCTTTGCTTCGTACATATCTCGCGTGCGACAAATGCGCGAGCAAAGCGGCCGTATGGAAACAGTAAATCTTACAAACACGACCAAGATTCTAGAGGATGAGATGGTGGCTCTGAAGGGCATGTACGAACGTCAACTAGAGGAACTGAGGAACAAACTCGAAGAAATGGCTCGAGAAAGAACACAGCACCAATTGGCTGCAGCGAAGAATTCTGCCTTAGTGGCAGAGCTTCAGGACAAGTAGGTCTAAAACTTAAGTTTGATTGTAATAAAAAAGTAAACAATAGTTTCTCCCCACATTTTCCGGTTTGATACGCTCACCAAAAGGTAACTGATTTTTTTTTTAATTCAATAATTTATTTACCCAATCACTCAGTTACTTTTGATGTTTTAGGGGATGTGATGAAAATGCCCAAACATAAAATTTCAGGATGGGTGGGACTAAACAGCTCTCTTCTGACCCCTTGCCTTGCTCCTAATATGCTTAGGATGGGAGAAATTTCATCATAAGTTAATCCGTTTTTTGGTCAATCTAATCATTTATTTTCCTATTCATTTAGTTACTTATAATGTTTTTGGGATTTGGTGAACTTGCCAAAGAAAACTATACATGGACTGGGGGGAGGGGTGGGAACAAAATAGGTCCTTACCTCCCCCATTCCTTTAGCCCTCTAAATGGTGTTCCTAGGATGGGAGAAAACAGAATCAGTTAATGAAAAAAAGAAAAGAAGTAGATATCCTTAATTAGTGCTCTTGGACTTAGAGCCCTTCAGCACATCTTATCTGTGCACCATTTTATCAAACAAATTAAATCTCTTGCTAGGGTGTGCTTTAGCAGGCAATATAAGTAATATACAGATTGTTGCAATTTTGAATATTCTTTTGTCTGAATCAGATTAGGGGAAGAGACCAGTGCCCGCCAAAAGTTAGAAAATGCTCTAGCAGATGCCCAGCGAGTTATTGCAGAAAAGGAGGCGCTGTTACAGGATGCTAGAGTCACCACCACTCAACATCAGAATGCCCACATGGATACAAAACGAGACAGAGATGGGCTTCAAACTGCCTTGACACAAACTCAGCAAGCCCTAGATACTGAGGTAGCAGCAAGAGCTGATCTCCAGACTTTGGCCAATCAGCTCAGGGATAAACTCAACTTTCAGCAGCAGCTTCATGAAAAGGTGAGAACCAATTATAAAATTATCATTGATTTTTCATCGATAATTATCTGTTAGATACCATGTTTCACCTTAAGCAACAAGATGCAAATTAGTGTGCTTGTCTTTTAGGAGTTGCACGAAATGCGTTGTCGTCTGGATGATGCTGAAAGGACTATCTTGTTGGCTGAGGAAAGATTGCATGAACACAACATTATTGATGAAAACTTGTCAGCTATGTTGGCCAAAGTGAAGCTGCACAGTGATGCAGAGTTACGAAGATTCAAAGAAGAGGCAGAAATCTCCTATCACAATGGGGTAAGTACAAAAAATCCTTCAATGTTAACTTTTATATCACCTATATCACTCTTAGTGGGCTAATGTATTTGTTTAGTACAAATAATACTCCACCCTTATGTTGAGAAGAGTTGATGAAGTGTCTCACCTGTAGAATTCAGTTTAGTTGAACCATCTTAAATTTGTAATTTATTTTTAAATTATATGACTGAAACCTCACCCCATACCACTGTGATATCTTGTGTAAAAGAGCTGAGTCCAACTGAACATAACCAAATTTCATGTTAGCCATAAGAGATTAAAACTGAGAAATATTTTACTACTTTAACGGCAGGCCTCCTAAAGTTCATGCCATATACATGTAAAAAAAATTTAACTTGGAAAAGGCATGTAGCAATATTTCAACACTGATGTTATCAAGCACTTGCAGAAGGTCTTTTTGTGACCTAAAATTCTAAAAAGTTTCTAGAAAAAATTTAGTCACAAAAATGGTGAAAAATATTAAGGAAATTTTGTGAAACATTACTTATATTTTTGTGCCAGTGTTTGTCTCACTTTAATTTTAGACTTTCAAAACACTTCCTCTGAAACTGGTATCTTTCAGCTGCACATGCCGTCAACAAAATTTTTTCCGCTCACCATGATTAAAAATGGTTTCAGCTTGGAGTTTGATGCAGGTACCATTAATTTTGATGTATACAAAATTTTTTCCACTTGGTGCAGATGAACCAGATCCGAGCACAGTTGGATAATGAAAGCAGAAACCTTGCAGCTGCCACAGACGACAACATCCATTTGAAGGCTCAAGTTGAGTCTCTGCATTCTAAGAACATCAACCTTGAAGCTAAGGTATCTATAGTAAATATCACAAATACCCTGTACCTTGAACTTCCTTCATTAGCATTAATCAATAATTGGCTGAAATTTTCTCAGTAATTTTTTCAATCAAACAGATAACAAAGATTATCTAGTAAGTGAAAGAGTTTGTGAATACATACTTGTAGGTCCTCCCCATTAGTGCTTTGGCATGAGTTTGCCCTTTAAGATATGAGGTCCTGAGTAACATAAACCAGTGAGAGGTTTGCAAGGAGTCAACTCTTTAACTCCCAAGATCTCATCAGTAATTCTCTCTTCTGTTTGCCATACAATTCTTATGATGTTAGCTTGAAGAATTTGGTATTGGGTCAACTAATAATCCCCTAAATAATCTTTTTCTTTATTTTCATCGCTTGTGTCCTTGATATTGTAAGCATAGGATATTGTGAGGTGAAATTCTATCTTGGTCACTCGTGGGATTTAAGGGGTTAATCACTGCTATTAGTGCCAGACCCTCAGTGGCCAACCTCTCCTCAACTCTGGTGACTCATCTCAGATCATCCCACTGGTGACAAAGCAGGCACCCTGCAGCACAAGTAATGAGAGCTTGCCCTGAAGCTATGAAAGAGACTTCTCATTTGTTTGCTGTGGTGACATCACTGTTTATGTTCAGCAAGAAATTTAAAAGCTCCATTGTTATAAATTTCTGACATGTGCTTTTAGATATGCCCTGTCAAAAAATATTTGATTCTTAAATGATAAACAATGAAAATAACTAATTGAACTCATTTTCTAGTGTTCCAGTTTGGAGGCCCAAAATGCTGGCCTTATTCAAAACCTGGAAATGGAGCGCCAGCAGGCTGCAAACACTATAAAGAATCTGGAGGCTAAGTTGCGAGAGCTGCAAGAAGTCCTAATGGCCAAGGTGCGGGAGCTGGGGCTGGCATACAATGCCCATCTACCACTTGACTTAGAACTGGATGCATTTGCCACTTTACTGGAGGCTGAGGAGAGAAGGTGAGCAAAATTTCTTTTCCTGACCTGCAACTAGAATGTTACGTAAACCATGAATGAAAGAGCTTATAAAAAAGCCATCATGTTGTTGTACCATGCTTAGAATCATTAAATTTTAAAAAACTGTCACAGTTTGCATGGTGAGTCTAGTAAGTAAAATGTATGGTGACCTAAGCATTAACTTTCCAGTGAGGAAGCAAGGACATGATACTATTATGCATCTCCCCTTTTTCACCCAGCATCATTCTCTGCCTGAATAAGTTCTCAGCCACATCCCTATTTTCTAACTATGACTTTGTTTCTTTCGACAAAAATGTTTTAACAGTTATTGATTAGTTAAGACTTTTCCCATGATTTGGTATGTGTGCAGTACAATATTATTGTGCATCAAACTTTTGGCCCATTTCTCATCATTCCAGGTTAAACCTGGCCATGGAAAGCAAGGTACCTCTTACTCCAGTACGCTCGCGTACCTGGCATGCCACTACAGAGAAGGTTCCTATCCCAACTGTCAAACGACCAGCTACCACTCTGGGTATCACACATCCCCCTGCTGTTACAAGTACTGCAGTGATAAGGCGTCCTGTGACACGACCCAAGACTACAGCAGGTACTTAATGCTGATGTAAAATAATGTTAAGTCTTGAATGATTATTTGTTTTATGTGGCAATTATAGCTTGATGCTTCAAAACTTTTGTGAGGTTTCCTTGGAAAAATTCCAGTTATTTTTAATTGAGTGCTGGCATTGGAGAAAAGTACTTAAATTGAACCAATGAATTTCAGATGATTGTCTGGACTTTCTTCAAGTTTTGGAGTTGATGGATGTTTCTGAAGCAGGGCCCATAACCCTGCAAAGTCATTGCCAACCACCAGCTTGCAATTATATTTCTGTTTTGTGATGGGTGTATATATATACAGAAAGATCAGTCAAGCTTTAATCTAAAGTTGGCACTGTTCTTCAACTTGGATATATTGTAATGATGTAAATACATTTAATTCTATGCTCACTAAAAGAAATTTATAAACTTTAAACTTGAAGCCAGGAAGTAACTTCATGTTTACTGTGATTAAATGTCAGGCACTTTGACTGGCACAAAAGTAAAGCCTGTAGTTCAGCCCATAACAACTAGCAGTCCATACCGCCACTCCTGGTCCTATGTACCAAACTTTGTGGACTATCACAGCCCTACTTCAAGGTGATTTAAGTTTCTTGTATTTTATTATAGATGTATGGTCCGTATGTGTGTGATGTATTTTAAAGTGCCAGGCAGGGATGATAAACTGCCTGGTTTTGCAGTTATTCAAATGCATAGATCTTGAAGAACAGAAAAAAATTTCATTTCTGAGGAAGATGCATACAGACTTAAGTCTGGGGCATTCTCTTGATAATTGGTGATTATGTTATGTCCATGCACTGTCAAATCAAAGATTATCCAATGAAAGTCACCTTGGTTTTAATGCTACTACTGGGTATTCGAAGGAAAGAGTGATGAAAGCACTACAGTGACTGTAGACATTACAGAGCAACAAGGTCTTTGGATTTATACAGACCACTCCTCCTTTTGTGTACTCATGCATCACTAGCTGTGGTGCCTCACTCTTCACTAGGAAGTTTTTGAGTGACTGAGTTGAAACTATAAATTGGGTCCCCTTAAATTGTTTCTGATGGTTAACAATGCCAATTAATATACCAAGGGTAAACCAATAAAATATTATTTGCAAGAGAGCGTTAATTTTTGTAGGCTTACATGTATTTGCTACTAACATGATTTATATGAAAATGCACTGATGTTAAATAACAGCTGCCTTTCTAGCAATTAAGCATTTTGTTTTGGATTAAACCCTTGATAGAATGTTAGTTTGAAATATATGGTTGAATTTTTTTTTTTCATTGAAAAAAGTTCCCAAAAGGCCTGTTTGTAACTTAACAGTTGAATCCAATTTGAGGAGAACTAAATCAAAGTGTCTAACACAGATCTTTTCCATCATTCTGGGCCAGTCGATGTAAACAGTTATTGTTGTTCCCAAAACTGTTCAAAATCAAATTCCTGAATAATTTTATACCACACATTCACCAGTCTGACTCTGGTTATTCTGTTTCTTTTGGAGGTCTCGCTTTCTTCGGAGCCTTCCACGCACACTGGCCCAGTATGACTTCTTCAAGATTTACCATTGAGAACAATACAGTGCCACATGATGACATTTTGTTTTTGCTCATTACTATTGATATGCAAATTTGCCCTCCCCTTTGCAACACAAAGTTCAGCTCAAGTCAACTATGGTTTAGATTATTTCAGATCCCCATTAAATTTGTATCTAGCTCATGTTTTGCTATTGCAGACAGTGGTTCTGCAGTCCAATTAGTAGACTGAGTTTATTTATTTTACCAGGTACCATTTGGGCAATGTTTTATGGATGATGTTTTATTTGAATTTTATTAACAAGGCAAAAGAGTGGATTTTAAAAATTTTTATTTTATATCTGTCAGGGCTTTTAAACGCCACCAGCTACAAAGTATTTTTTCACGAATATTTGACAATTTTTTTTTATTTTCAAACTCTGCGGTGCAAACATTTATATAGTGGAATTTAATTGCCACTCTTAAATTTTTCTGGTCCAATCTAGTAGAGCATCCCCTTGAATTTTGTCACCAAGTTTGTTTCTTTTTTTTTTAAGTTCATTCAAGTTTACTTTTTTTTTTCTGAAAATGTGAGTGTTGGTTATATGATAAGTCCCATAATGCTTTACTCAGAGTCTATTGTATCCAATAGCACAACAATTTTAAATGAATTTTTAGATGAACAAAAGTTAACAGACAGTGATTATTATAATATGTCTCTTTTGATTTAAAATTTTGGAAGTGACATAAATTTGATTTAAAAACATTTGTTTGATGTTAAGTTTGAAAAAAATATCAGATTTTACAAATAGGTAAAGATTATGTTGAAATTATATCACAGTAATTATTATTCTGAATATTGTTGATTTAGGAGATGCACATTTTATTAATCTTTATTATTTATTGTTGAAATAACAGAATTGAGAAATTTTATTCACTTAGATATATTCCTAATGTGGATTTTTATTTGATTGAATCACCCAATCTTATTTATTGCAAATTAGAAGTAAGTACAGGAATCAGACATCATGATAAATTACAAATCACCAATAAGAGTTTAATCAGTTATCTTAAATATTTCCTTTTTGATATTCAAGAAGATTTGGATATTTATATATATCTAGTTTAGATTCTGCTTCTTTCCTTTTTACACTGATAACATTGAATTTCTATCTCACCGTTTACAAGAAAGTATGGGCATTTTTTCACTTGTATGCCGACAAACACCTTATCACACATGTTGATGCATTTTCTATTATGATAAAATTTTCATCAATCGCTTTGTAACACATTAGATATTACAATGATTTTGTCAATAAAGTCATTTTTCACTAAATTATGCAGGATTTTTAAAGTTGTTGATGTTAAATTTTTTTTATTAGATTTTAAATACTTTCAACTAATGACTTTGATTTTTCAACCACATCAATCGGCAATTTAGCTACTTACCCTCATTTAAGAGTTGATTCGACTTTCACATAGTAAGGAAAAAATCATTATCCTAAGGGTAGACAAAGAAGTTATTACCATGTCTAAGAATTTAGCAGGTACCAAATATGTTGAGATATGTTTCTCGACAACGAACATCGCTGCAAACTAAGAAAACCCTTAACTTCTATAGACCAAATTTAAGATAGCTATCAAAACGAGCGAGTATAAAAAGGCCCCTTTATGTTCAGCGATCTCATGGTGCAAAAGAGACCTGGCTGAAGGGCCAATTTGCGCCTTGGACATCCCAACAGAGCGATTTTTTTTTCTGTTTGGATCCCACAGAGCACAGTTGGTTCTCATGCCAGGTATTTTTTATCACGTGATCACTGGCTGCGAAGGGTATATAACATTCATTCTGTCTTGCTTACATTATCCAGTCATACAGGAAATGTCCGTATCTTGGAGGTGAACCCCGATGGCAACTATGTGAGAATCTTCAACACATCCGGATTCAAAGTGAGTTCATTTCTGACTTTTAAGGTCCATACGTTTATCGCTCTTTAGAAAGTGGTCAAAACTGAGTCTCAATTCTTGCCGATGAACTGTGCCTCATATAGGGTTTTGGTGATTTCAGAACTAGCCTTTCTCTTAACTTTTTCCTCCATTACTTTAACGGTGATGTGCTAATAATTCCCAATCCTAAGAGTGCTGTGCGCGCCGTGGCTCACTAGGTCTTCCTGTCAATAGCTCTTTCCTCTAACGTCCCGTTATCCTGGCCGGTGGAGATTCATGTATAATATCTGAGTTGCAAAGCGTTGGAAATTGTCAGTGGGTAACAAAGTCACGAAAATTCTTGCTATCTTCGTGACGTATCCTCGTTTTTTTTCCCAGGATGAAGAGATTGGCGGGTACATGGTTCAACAGAATGTAGCTGGTAGGCCTGTGACAGTCTTCCGTTTTCCTCCAAGAACCCGGCTCAAGGCATTGTCACATGCTACTGTAAGTATCTCCACCCACAAATGGAGTACATACTAAGGTGGAAAGCATTAAAAAAATTCGAGATTCGCCCATCGATATCAATGATTTACACGTTATTATGTCATTGGTAGGTATGTTAATTTGCCTCAAACTGAATGACGTGCATTGTGGCCTCGCTTGGTGATTTATTTTTACGAAAATGATAGCTCAACTCCGCGGCAAAATATAATACCACAATTCTCCTTTGGATATTCTCTCTGCCTATCTACGTAATGAAAATGATCTGGTTGAATAACGCCTTGCCCTTTGCTGTTGCCCGTTATAGGTGTGGTCAGCTGCTAGCTTGACCAGGCACAACCCTCCATCAGACTTCTTGTGGAAAGAGCAGCACAAGTGGGGAACTGGACCGGAATGTACCACAATACTTTGCAAACCAAATGGACAGGTAAGCCTTCACTTTTTGCATTGTGGTCATCGTCTTCATTGTTGCAAATTGTTTTATTATCCTTTAAGACAATGGAACTCGAAATATATCTTTTCTTTAAATTCTGTAGGCTGTGGCGTGGACAACTGCTGCTTATCCATTTGGCGTCCCGAACCAAATTCCCACGCGGGACACAGGACCGATTACCCTACCAGAGACTGGGGAGCCTGCTAAGGAGAAGACATTTCCTCGTTCTCCAAGGCATGCATCAACGTATTCTCATTTCTCTCCACAACATACACAATTACAGAAAAAGTAGACAAATTAGTCCGGAGTTTTCAGTTTCTTGTGGTAACTGCGTCTGTTTTTTTCTCAAGTGTGGTTATCAGCTTGTTGACATATTTAATTGCTATACGAGCGACCCTTGAAAGGGTGTCGGTTCTCCAATTTTTCTTTTGGTTTAATTCCTTCACTGTTGTCACTGATGAGCTGCGTATGCAACTCAACGGATGTTTAATCTGCTAAACATCCACTTGGGCTTGTTGACTTCAGGTGCCCAAAAAGGGTTATAAATGGCGACCATATTTATTGGAATGTCTCGTTTCCTTTAGGTCTAAAGTTCCTGACCCATTGCCAAAAGAAACAGAAGGTAAACCTTTCTCAAATCCCCCAACTGACCCTCTCCATCCGCACACTGTACAACCCAGGACCAAGATTGGCGGCCATGATGCCATGAGCATGCACCCACAAGCGAGATCACAGACTGAGAGGCCGGACCCTTCTGGGGCTAGTCGAACTGGAGGAGCTCCTCTAAGAAAGTTTACTGGGACTTCTCTACCAAATAGCAAGGTAGGTTTTAAATTTAAGGTTGTCCAATAAATACGTACAAATCTTATGGTAAATCACGGGGCGATGTAAAGTAGAAGCAATCCAAAACTTGATCGGAAATTGGTCTTAATACCTTAGTTAGTGATCCTATTAGAAATCTGTGATGAATTGAGATAATGTACGTTGGTTACTAATATTTGCTAATGCATCATTGTCCACTCAGAGTTCGACCTCTAAAAATGGCCAGAGAGGGTCCATACGAGTTCTACCTGCAACAGACTTCAGTTCACCGTCACAGCAACATCAAGACAGACTAAGTCAAATCAACAGTCATCAAAGAGTGGAGTTCGCACCACCAATGCCAAGGCCCTACGTTATTGCTGACACATGGTAATGGATTGGGAAGAAATTGTTTTAATGCTATCGAAATATTGAAGTAAAACCGTGCTCTAATGAATCAAATTTATAAATTCTGGGTTACAACTCAAATTAGCTTTTTGAAATACAGTGTATTTCCCTCCGTTTCCAATATTATTTTTAGTTTGATGGGAATTGGAGATTTCAATCGCCCCCTTTCACTTTCCACCATTCAAACTCAGACTGGGAGGTTTATGGAGTTTTTAGTATTTTCAACCACAAAAATGCAACCCACCTCTCTCTTGATATGCATGTAGTCTTCCTTTTCATTTTATTATTTTTTTAAATTGTTTCTTTTTGTCTTCTAAATAGATTCACACATTCCCAAAGGAAAAAATGATGGAAAGAATAGTTTGGAGTGAAGTAATGATGACATTTCGTTGTTCTCACAGGAATTTTCGCTGCAATAAATTTTTCAAACTACACGAAACAAAAATTGTAAATAAACAGTCACTATACATATATGAAGGAGCTAAGGGCATTGTCATGTGATGAGCGCACTATTTTTCAAAGTGATAGATTGTTACTCAGTTAAATGTCAACAAAGTAAGAGGATAAGATTCCTTGATCCTCTTTTGTGTAGAAAGTGATAATTGGAAACTTTCTCTTTGCGATGAAAGTATGGAGCCCCTCAGAATTTCTTTTTAATCTAACTCCTAAGAAAAGCTCTCAAAGTACCTTAAACAATACTTTCCATTTATCTGGATCAAATGTAGTAAAGGAAATTTGATCGTGTACGAGATACACCCTATTCTTCAAGTATAAATTCTCTTTTTCAAGGGTGAAGACTCAGAAAAATTAAAAATTATCCGAAATTGTTTTAATCTTGGTGCTTATGTTTCATACTGGTGGAATTTTAAAAAACATTCTGGCGAAAAATTTTGATACGTGTGGTACTTCTCAAGTCGGAATTGCCTTGACCAAAATCTGAGTTGGAATGTAGATTTCATGGTTCTGTTCGAAAAAAAGTTAATGTCATGTCTAAGGATTTTTTAAACGTAGAAACATGGATTACTTCGCTTTAGCGCTGCATTAATCATGGCCTTAAGTATGACATTCAAGGAATATGGTACAGGGTCCTTTGCTCCTTCCGTTTGTTCTCGTTTAATTTACAGTTATTTCCCCTTGCGGGATGGGTGGGACATCTACAGACTATTGCTATCTATGTGGTGTGCGTGCGTGTTAGATCACGTGGGTTGGTTTGAGCTTTACAAACTGCTGAGTTTCTAATTTTGAAAAAAAATACAATTAAAATTAGAGCGGAACTGAATGTGATCGTGGCCGTTTCTTGTAATTATTTCATTCTTGTGTCTTGACAACAACGCTGATGATTAAAGGAAGTTACGTGGTTCACATCAGGAGTCAAAAGGACCACGAGAGCCAGTTTAGTAAAGCTTAAGAAATTTATCACATTGACGCGACGTCACATTTGGCTGTTTCGGTGTTACAAAGGAATAAAGGTAAACAGGTACGCATTATGTACATGTTGGTACTTCCGGTTTCCTACTCCCGATTCGTCATTTTCGGATTTCCCTTTTTTGAATTTTTTCCTCGCTATCACTCCAATAACGTACCCTGTTCTTGAAATTCCATTCCAAAAACAATTCTCCAGTCTGATTCTTTACTTTCGATTCTCTCTTTCCCATTTCTAAATATCTATCCCGGATTTCCCTTTGCTCGCCAGACAGCATGGATTTTTCACGCACTGTACCAGTTCAATACTTTTTTTTCACTATTATTGTTACACTTACTCTAACACACATGATGACATAGTGGGAAGAGAACCATACATTGTACCACCAATAAAAATTAGTCAATATTTTAGGAAGAAAACCGTTTCGCTGGAGCAGAAAACACCTATACCGATAGCTAAGTCGTGAATAAATTAATCTGAGTTTGCCTTTTGTTCTTTTTATTGATGGCCCATGTACAACACACCCTCTAGCAGAAATCATTCGTGTACCATTGCCAACGATGTGGAATGCGAAAGAATTATTTCTTTATTTCTTCAGAAGTACGTGACACAAATCAACTCTCTATACATGACACGTATCTATCAAATTAAATTAATATAAAAATTTACACAGTAATTATATTATCCATGAATGAACAATAAAAAATTTGTCTTATAACCAAACGCTTGTCATTCGTTTAATAATTGCGTAATAACTTGATGATTTAGAAACACAGAACAAATCTGTGTTCAGTAGAGTAAACACTAATGGCGCTATAAATCAAACTTTGAAGTTCTCAAACGTATCCTTGTAGCAGGCGTGTAGTGTAAACCAAATAGCGGCAACAATTGAGAAAATAACCCATAGTCCGACCAAAAGAGAAGTTTGCTTTGTATAAAAAACGATTTCCTTCTCAACCATCCAAAATTCTGCGTGAAACTACGGTAATGACCGTGTTTTAAGACCTCAGAGTAATTCAACCTTTTGAAAGTTGTTTTCAAATGAGCATAAAGTACTACTATGGACGCCACCATTTAGGCGCTTGGATCTATATATCAGCCGCTTACCTTTGACTAAACTGAATCTCAATCTCTTTTTTTAAAGTCTCTTGGCGGTCTGTTTGAACAATTCTAGGAGTCAAACAGAAAGCCATACTTCCGGCAATGTTTCTTGGCGAAAACTAGAGCAGTTTCGGTTTGCGAACAACGCGAAACCGCGCATGATGTTTCTGTCATCTTAGTTGAATTCTGGAACGACATTCTTTTGCGGCCAGGTTACTCAATGTTTGCAAAATGGCGGTGTCCATACCAACGTCGTATATTGACCACAATTGGGCTACTTTTGGGATTTAAGAAACACGGTAAAAAGTAAATTTTATCATGTAGCTTTTTTAACGACAGAGATGTAAATTAATTGCACGCCGCGGCAAACTACTTTAAGGAAAACGTAAGTGGAGTAAAAATATAAAACTGTTACATCGAACGCTTCAGCGTTTATTCAAAGGAAACTTGACTTGTAGCACAAAACAGAAAGGAGGATGTCATAAAACGAGTAGTTAAGGCAAAGGGTAACTTTCGGTTTTAGAGGTGAAAGAAAAAACTTGCCTGTACCTAATTCTGCTCCCTTTAAAACATTTACAGTGACAATTTCTCGACTCCTCCCTAAACCTCAGATGATCTCTAACAAGACGTGGTTTTCTCTTTTGACGGCTTTTCACTTTCCTCTCTACTCGATGCAGCACCACCCTCTGAGCTAGGCTTATCACTTTTGTGTTCATAGTGCGAAGCACCAGGACTAGAGGTACATACTTCCTGCCGAGAAGGCGTGCAATCTTCCTCTGGAGCAGGTACAACCTTACTTTGTCCAGAGCCTGCCCTTTCCTTGGAGCTGGGCGTGTCTCTTAGCGTTTCGGGCTGAGACCTCAAAGGTGTTGAAGGCTGTGGTAAATATTCATCTCCATTTGCATTGCAGCAACAACAACAGAGAAAGACCACCCACAAGATCACCTGTAAACCGACATGGTCTGTTTTAAAAACTGATTTTTTTTAAATGAGCCTCACTCAACCGAAAGGTTAAAAAGGCCATGCCTAGTGTTATTGTACTGCTGTGATATACAAAGCAAACATGCAAATCAGAAGTGCTAAGCTTCATGATAAAAAATGTCTTTGTGTCTGTCACTTTTTATGCTTGTCTGTCTCCTTTTTTTTTTCCTTCTTCTTCGTGTCTAAGCCCCGTTTAGTTATCACTTCCTATTAAACTGGCACTATCCATTTCTCCATATGGTGGCTGTCTAATAAGCATTCGTCTAACCTGCAAATCGCAGCTCTTAAGCTCTTAAGCGCTCAAAATTAAGGACTAGTCGTGTCAATTTCAAGATGTCTAGATCTGACTGGTTCTTCAAAATGCCTTCTTCATTACTTAGCTTCTGCGGTACAGCCGTTAGAATGTTAACTTAACATTGACTACTTAATTAATGACAGACTCGCACTTAATGACAAAAAAGTTTCAATCCTACTATTCGAGTGTAATTGACGCAATTTCAAATCAGCTTCGAGTTCTGCCAATCTAAACTTGGCCGATTATTCCATGAATTTCAATCTGTTCAGCCATAGCTAGCTACTAACATGAAAAATAATCGAAACAATTGTCATTATACTGAATTATCCGATTATCCGAGAAATGTAGCAATTGCGTAGTTTTTTGTCAAGGTAGGACTTGTCTCGAAAACATTTCAAAGCATCTGACCTTACAGGTGATTTAACACGATATCTAGAGTTCCGCAGCCTTTTTGTCGTTATGGGCCAGGTCTTGGTTTGTTTGCCATCACGGGATATTTGTTAAGCACGTTTCGCTCGAGTGTCGTGAAACCAAAACGGAAGCCATCACAACGGCCAATGAGAACAAAGGAAAATATATCACAAGGAACCAATGAGAACTCAAAGCAAAAACACAGGCACCGCCTAAGGCGTGGGAAAACGCGAGCAACCAAGTAGCAATTGATTTTAGCTTCAAATCAGATTGGTCGAAAAAGTGGCGCGAGCTTTCTAGACCAATTATATGACGCAGTAGGCCAAAACCAAAGTAATCCCAGTTTTCTTTTGTCACTCCAATAAAAATTGATCTTTGTTAAGTTAAGGTGAAATTCCTGTTACCCACTACTTCCTAGTAAGTTACTGCTTTACCTCGACTATACCAATAATGATTCCAATGACACCTACAGTCAGCAAAGATTTTTTCACTTCTTCCACGACAATCGAAGCACAACCCTGCAAAGGGAAACATTTATCCAGTAATCATGAGTGCAGTTGTATCAAGGATTATTCCAAAATTCATTTACAGAAAACTAAATAAACTGCGACTAGCGTATAATAAAACTATTAGGATGCGGTCGAAAAGGCGAGGTCCACATCAGAATGACAAGGTTGGGAGACAAATGACTACTTGGATACTAGAATTTGAAAGATTTAAAAGCCTTTGATGATCACAAAATATTTATTTAAACTGGTCATTGCTCATACCAATGCTTAATACTCTTAATCAAGGATCAAATTTTTTAAAGTTTCCTTGTTTAACATCATTCACGAATTTCACAGATTACTTTCAGCAACCTTACAGTGAGCCAAAAGTGGGTGTAAAACTAAACATTGATCGCTGAATAAGATGATGTATGAAAGGTGTGGAGGTGAATAGTCGTTTTAGTACATACAAAAAAAATGAGATAACATTACTCAAAAGGATTAATTTAACCCATTTATTCCTGCAACGACCAAATTATTTTTCGTCCGCAAATCCCACGCGAGTTGCTCGGAAGTGAATAGTAAAGTATATTCGGAGTAGCCAATCAGAGCGCGCCTTCAACACTATCTAATGTTTCAGTATTTATTAAAAAAAAGGTTATTTATACAGTGGAAGTTCAACTGTAGTTAAGGATTATGTCTCTCTGTAAATTAAAATAAAAAGAGTAAGAGATATTTAAACTGTGGTAAAATTTGGAGTGGTTGGTTCCTCTTTATATTAACAAACAATCCACCTTTCTGTTAAGTGTTTTATCCGCATCTACAAAGCAGTAACCACATCCAAACGTCTCATCTTTACAGCAGGCATCTGGGACTTTGTCGTATCTACGTCCTCCCCAAACAGTAATACGCCAGTCAGCAAAGGTGTTCACCCCACAACATTTATACTATTGATCATAAGTAATGATAAAACAATAATTAATGAATGAAAAACAGTCACTGTGATAGCCTATGTGTCGCCATATCGTCCCCCCCCCAAGGTGAAGCAAAGCCGAGGGAACGTGTTACCTCGCTTCTGTTTCACCTTGGGGGGGGTGGGGAACAGTACGGCTACATGTTGGCTGAAACAGTGGATGTTAATATAGACTTATTGCAACAGCTATATCTATATGTAATGAAGGAACTTTTAACAAATTTTAAACTTGTGTACGGTATAGACAATTTCAGCAATTAATTTTCCATTGTAAACATAGAAACAACTGCTTGAATTCTTAAACATTAGAAAATAATCTTTAATGACTTCTGTGTGAGGAATCTTTGAGGATTACTTATACTGGTAGAGATATTTCTCTTCCAGGGTAGCAAAAGAAATCTGAAATAACAGAAAGTTAAAAAGACAAATAAACAAACAAATGCTCTAATCATAATAATTTATGGCATGACCCAAGATTCCCCTCCCCTCCCAACAAAAGGTATTTGACTGTTGTCCAAATTTGAAAGAAACTTAATTTGCTGACAGTAACATATTCAATGCAATACATTAAGCTATCATGTGACAGCTCAGCTAAATGGCAAGTTAGAATGAACCTAGATTACTTGTGGAGCAGGTAACTGAACATTTGTAGCTATCTGACTGTCATAATATTCCTCAGAGAGTAGCTATTTGCAAACCTTCTCAAATAAGTTACAAGTAACTAAATGAAACACCAAAAACAGGTTTCTCAATAAAAGAAAAAATTGTCTAAAAAAAACAAAACAAAACAAAACAAACATAAAAATAGTACTAAATTAAGCTTCTCTGACCTCTTTCTGTAATTTATTAACATCCTCCATGGAGCCCCCTGACCTTCCATACAGTTCAAGTTTCGTCTTTAGGTCTGGTTCAAATGTATTTGTGACCTAAAGTTTAAAGACAGTACAATGTATATTCCTGCATTATACAACTCAAATATCCTATATTGGAATAATCAACATGGCATACAAAGGACACCGATGACTTGAAAACACTGCAGTATTGCAAGTACCTAAATTGGTAAACTTAACACCTCAAGGGAAAAGGGTCAGTTCCTGGAGATTGTGAAAGGGTCATGTGAAATTGAAAAAAGGCTTGAAAGCCCCAAAGGGTTGAAAGGGAAGAGCCATATTCACACACCCCTCCACCTCTTATTCCTTAGATATAATTAGGGGAGAGTTGAGTGTACCTGTATTTTATAATTGATTGCAATCAAGTGCCACAACTACATAAACTACTGTTTTTCTAATTTTGGGGAGGATAATAAATCTTCATTGTGGTCCATGGGATATCAATTGCAGTTAGAAAATGTCTAATTAAAATGTACTGTCATTTCGCTCATCTAAGAAACAAAATGATTCAGAGAAGCAATATACTTTTTCACCGATAGACTTCACTGATGAAAGAAATCATCCCAAATACTACTTCTGTCTGAAGATTTACCAAGCAAATCAGCAGAGCAAGCATTTTAATTCCCTCTGACTTCATATATTACCTGGTCTTGGAAAAATGCCAAAAAGTGTTTGAAATTTTTGGTAATTATAGCCCTTACCTGGAAGTATCACATCATTGCTGCCCCCCCAACCAACAGAACCCAAATAAATTGATAAGACTTAAGTGAGATCAATAACAAGCAATTTGAATCTCCTTTCTAGATGCTATACATTTCCTTGTCGATTAGTTATGAGAATTTGGTGTTATATTAAGATAACATCTTCCACCTGATAAGTTTGAATATTCTCATTACCTGTTTGCTAGATAATGTATAAATATTTCAGGGAGAAGTAACATGTTAATCACTCCTGGGAGTTAATGGGTCAACTTTTATTTCAATCTGTCACTAATGGATCAGTGTGGCAGTGGATACCCATCAACAATGATTAAATGCTTTAAACCCCAATATCTAGTTGTTAATTCTCCCTTCAACTGCAACATATTTCCTTGTAAACTAGTTCCAAGAATTTGGTGTTACATCAAGATAACAACTTCTTCCTGATAAGTTTGAGTTTTTTTCTTATAACCTGTTTGCTGGATAATGAATGGGTATTAAAGGGGGAGGAAATGTGTATCTTGCTTACAGAGATGTATGACCAGTCTCATTAGCTTTGTCTTCAATGTAAGAAACAGTTAAATATTGAGTATTACCTTCTTGATGTTACCTAAACCAATTCCACCACCAATAAATGCCAGAAGAAGGGCTGCCACACCAAGGAAGACCTGGAAATTATAATAACACACATTACAAAAATAGAAGGTCAGGTAAAAGTGACTTTAAGTAAAAACACCACTCAGTCTGTAACATGACAGTAAATTAGCTCTCAGCTGCTCCTTTAGTAAAGTGAATGACAGTGAAAATTTACAGCTCTCAGTTGCCTCCTTTGATTTAGTGAGGCTGAAGGTGACCTTTTTGTTAGAGACCAGAATCTAGTTAGCATGATAACAACTTAATTTGCATTTCAAAAGCAGCAAGCCAATCATAACAAGGAACACAACTGTAAAATGGACTATTCTGAAGCCAACATGAAGTTACTTGAGCATCTATCCTTCAGTGCTACGGGGTCAATTTCTAATTTTTTTGCCAGTCAGGCTGGAAAAGTGAGTTGTTACTGCTGGACATTATTGCTAGCATTTGTTTATCTTGACAGATTGATTGCAATAATTCCATTTAGGCAAAGTGATGACTGGTGAGCGTATGACCTAATTAATAGAATTCCAGCAGAGAGAAATTACCAAATGGTTGCCCAGTATCATTGTTATTACATATTACACAGGAAATTCAATGCTGTATGTACTCACTGTAATTTTAAGTAGTTTCCTTTCTCCATTCTCAATAGGTGATTTTTCACAAATAAAAACAAATCCAAGAACTGCCACTAGCAAGCTGCAAATCCCAGCACAGAGGAGTACTATGGGTGCTGTTTGAATGCTTAGGCTTGTCAAAATTTGTGCAGGAGTTATTTGGTTCCTCATCACATGAGCACCAACCCCAATCATAGTGACACCTGCCACCTAATTACCGAGATAAATATTATTGTTAGCAACATAATTAACAAGTAGCTATTTAACAAACCACTTTCATTCTATGACCATGAAAGGTAACGATAACTTTCCCCCATCATGGATGTAATAGTTACAGGTTACTGTCAGTGACACTGATCTCTGTCACAATATTCTCTGTACTGTTTCCAAACCTATTGCTAAGATTGCAAAAATTCAGAGTAGTTTGAATTTGTTATTATATGTATTGTAAGATTTTAATACAAAGTCTACATACTATTCTTGATGTCCCAAATGAGTAATTGTTAGAGAGAGATGTTTTTGTCCTGTCACAAGCGTGGGACAAAGAAAAAATTTTGAGTCCTCATTATCTAAGCAGTCTGCTGGACATGTGTCATATATGAACTTCGTAATCTGCCTTGCTCACCATCAAGTCTCTGTGGCTCAATGTTACAGCATCAGAGTGCAGAATCTGAAGGTCTGAGGTTTGATTCCTCATGGGGACTCAGAATTTTTTCTGCATCTCAAACTCATAACAAGATGAAAAAAATAGATCTTTCTCTATTTCTTTACCAAAGTTAAAACTTACCATCTTTCCTATTCTATTGATTAATTGTTGTTTCAACTTGCTGTTGTAGTCCCAATTCATAGCCAGAGGTGTCCCAGTGGCTTCAAGACACCTATCTTAGCAGTCTGAATTTGCACTAGCTATAATAGGCCATTTTACAGTTGTGTACTTTGTTGCCAAGCCTCTGATTTGGAGTGAGGCTGAAGGTGACCTTGTTGTGTTAGAGACCAGAATCTAGTTAGCATGATAACAAATTAATTTGCATTTCAAAAGCAGCAAGGTTTGTATCATAACAAGGTCACCCTTAGCCTCACTCCTGTTTAAAGGCTTGGCAACCAAGCACACAACTGTAAAATGGACTATTGCCATGGTCAGTGAGTAACTAGACTATGACTATAATTTTCCTGATATCAATGAACAAGACCACTCTCTTGTATACTGTCTGCCTTCCAATATTTTGCATTTTCATAAGCTGTTTCTCTAAGGTCAATAAAATGTCTATCCAGTTACAGAGACAAATCTAATGCATACTCATGCAAAGCCTGGGTGTAAGCAAGGAATGCAGTTGTCTCTAAATGGCATATCAGTAACATATTGGCTATGCTTACCAGATAAAATCCTGCTATGAGAGGAATCAGTTTCTTAGTGATGAATCTCTCATGGCAGTGGCTTGGGGCCATTGTTATCATATGGATGAGCTTCAACCTACAATGAGAGACAAATAATTAAGATAAAACTACAACTGCAAAATGGAAACAAGGTATTAAATCTTAAAATAAATGATTTTGAAGAAAACATTGTCGTGACGGTCCTTGCCAAACTAGTTCTGTTGGTTTTCAAATGTTCCTACGATTTTTTTTTCTTGCGCGCTCTCTAATTGACAGGTGTCAGATTGTGACAGATACTTGTAAAAATAATGTTTCAAAGTTTGTTTGGAAGCCTTTTGAATCACCTTTATCGTTACGGAAATGAAAATGTTTCGGTGAGGCATCTCTTTTTAATTTGCATCACCTCTATTTTAACTACCATTTACTCACTCAAAAATTGTTCAGTTTATGGAAGATCTTGCCGTATTTACAGCCATAAATCATTCGGGTTCTTTCGGAAAGAATTTCGTCAAGTTTAAAAACAATAAATATGTCATTTACCGGCTAAGGGTCGGTCCGTATGGTGAAAAAATGTGACCTCGGTAACAGTTTTTCACCATACGGACCTCCCAGCCGGCAAATAACATATATATATAATTTTAAATATATAAATTTCAGAAAGACACCAAATTGTATGAAATAAAACTGATGCCGCAGTCTAGCGGGTGTAGGTTTGAAGCTAGCTAATGATTAATAACCCTTAAAGTCAGGAAACGGTTTATCAAAAAATATACATGATGACTTTAAATACTTTAAAGATGGCGTAAATTGAAAGATATGTAAGTATTGGTTATCAAATCTAGAATATTATGTATTTTAAATGGTCTCTGTACAACTACGCCTTCCTATATATGCCATGGCAACGTGAAACAACATCGATCAACATACAGGGAAATCTTAAATTGTAATGTACATTTTGGTAAGTTAATTAGCTGTACGCTGTTCGTGAAAAACATAACAAACCAGCTATGGAGGTGACCTCAGTTTAAATCGAACCAGAGACAATTACACATCCCGCGTGATATGAAACGAAATCCATGATGCTCTGATGATGCGACAAAGCTTTCAACTTGTCTAGGTCAATTGATTCACCTCCCTGACGGTTGCCCAATAAAATTGTGATGCATTTTCCTACAGAGAATACTGAACTGTAAAATGAAGTAATGACGAAGACAACACCAGTGCAGATATTAAACTGTGGGCTGAGAAAAAGCAACAGAAATCTTGTGGTTCCGCGACAAGAACGGGATCATTCAAAGGGCATCTCGATTACACATTCTTGTGTTTCTACTGTCAAGTCTGTCAAGTTCGTATCATATTACTAAAAGTTTTTGAATAATTAATAACAAGTTGTCATTTCCGAAAATCACGCTTGAAAATTATATCGCTTTAAACATGTTCTTGACTCGTCGACGCCAGGAAGAAAAAATCGCACATACTTTGAGACGAACTTTATTTTCAGAAGAAATGCTTAAAACTTAAATTTAGTCCATTACCCATAATATCTTCAGCTGCTCACAGTGTGGCGTGATCCAGAAGAGTGCCGTCCTTGTCGATACTTTCTAGTTTCAGTTTCGCTGGCATTTCATAGAGCTGATCAGTATTTCTCGAAGACACACAGATTGTGTGACCAATACCGCTTACATCTCTCCGAACCACATCGATGAAAGAGATACTCAAACATCGGAATCAATAGAGAGGCACCCGCGTCAAACCAAGATTTAACTTGTCATAGTAAGCTAGCCTGAAGGCGTTTTCTCAAAGCAAGAAACACGGAAGTAATCACCAAAGTTCTCCTTTGTAAGTCATAATCAGTACATTTTAAACTTGCCAGACGTGACATGCTTTTAATGTCTTTGTCTTGTATTCTTAAAGTAAAGAAATCTTTTTCCTAAATCACCTTTTGTGAGATTTTTAGTTGACTAATACTGATCGGTTGTGGGAGCAATCTTTCATACATCAGTGAACTCAATTAATGTCGCTCTCCTGATCCCACAAAATCGCCGCACAAACGCATTTAAACTCTTGTAAATGTCATATGGAAAAAATATACTTCTCGCAAAGAGAAGCCTGTTAAATGTGGCGAAGATGATCATGAATGCGACGCAAGAAATTCTCGGTATCATTTGTCTATCTATTTTAAGTTCTCACCGTTGATTCTTTAACGCCCAGTTGAACTAAGAAATTATGCTCATAGGATTCAACCGAGTGAACTCCACGAAGACAAAGGAATCATCTGTTGATGAGAAACAAACTAGCATTACTTTTTCTTAACCTTGCGAAAGCTCGACAAACCCAAACTCACCTTATTTCCGTTTTGTATACAGAAGTATGCTGAAAGTCACGGGTTCAAATATACTTTCTCGCTCTCCCCAAGCTCGCGCAATAAAAAATGTCACCATTTTAGTCTGGAAGCCCGTCTGGGGATCTTATATCAGGAAAAATTTATGCTTCAGTGCACTGAACAGTTTTCCGTGAGAGAAGGCTCAGGAAAAGTGAAAAACTGTGAGTCTTTCCAATACAAAATACATGTTCAATCAAACGTCTGAAAGCCTGTAATAGTTTCCATTTTACCTCATGAATAAACAGTATCATAGAGTGAAATAATTACACGTATTTGGGCTGTCAGTGACTTAGTGTTCCTCCAAAATAACCGACCCCTCGTCTCCCTAGCCGGGGATCTGGGGGAAGTGGGGGAACCATAACAACGTTTTAGGGGTTGTGTTAAGCCAAGAGATTATAGTCTCAAAGCTTAGCTGGTAGTGATTTGTTTATGCTGCGAGAGAGACTCAACGAGTTTGTAGTTATTATCAATAAAAGTGCCTCAGTGCCTTTATCTGGTGGGAAAGTGTTAAAATATGGCTGATAATTTGTATAAAGCGAGAGAATTGAACATCGAAAAACTGGAACTGAAAGAATCGGTTTAGCTCCAAATTTATCTAGGATCGAGTTTGAATTTCTATCAAATAGAGTTATTTGCATCTCTCAGCTACGATTCATCAACATTTAAATAAGCCGACAGTTAGTTATCTATTTCTCCTGTACCGTTTTGAGTAGAAGTGACCCAAAAGCTTGCCGACGACTTTCGGACGGTCTTTCACAGTTGTAAACTCATTTGAATTACAAATATATTTTTTGAAATTTTAATATATTCATATTTACAATCAGGCTTGCACGTGGAAGAAGGTTCTGAACTACAAGAAATTTGAACATCCCCTGCAGCTTCTTTGAGACCAGGAAACACGTCATTTTAAACCTATTATCTTGTATATTGTCGGTTCTGTGAAGGGCCACAGTGCGTTTATTCGGCTAGCTTGAGGGTTTCCGAAGTAAGTGGTTCAAATTTAACGTTGAGGATTGATTGATCGGTCGTCTTGTCGCTAATTTCTCCTTCAAGGTACGTGAATAATTTACGTATAAACACATTTGTAACACAAATTAGCGTTTGCATTTCTCTATGTTGCACTGGAAAATTAAACTAAATGGTCTAAAGGAATAGCATGTGACACGCAGTAGCGTGATCATGAAATTACAATCCTCAATATGGCCACCACCTTGACATAACAGTTCTTATCAAACCGCGAGATTTTCACGGAAACAGCAACAAATTTTCTCTTTATCGTTCGTTTATTATTTAATCCTATCTTGTAAGTTACGGTTGCGGATGTTAGAATGTTCTTTTTAACTCGAAAATTTATCGAATATATCGAGATGGACTCTGCAGGAGAAATAGCTTGCATTTCCTGTACACGTTGTCATGTGCACAAGAAATGCATTCATTTATAAATAACCAAAGACAAAAATAAAGGAAGTTGCATACATGATAATCCTTTTTTTCCTCCGAATTTTCTCATCACTGTTTTTTAAATTGACTTGCAGTCATGAATTACGGCCTTTTTGCTTTGATGAAACAGTGCTAGTGCTCTGAATCTAGTGATAGCGAACCACTGTTATTAAAGACACCAGGTCACTGTCTTACTAAGTTACTCTAGCAACGGTTTCGCTTACCAGGTTCCTATGTAAAGTTGAGGTGAAGTTCCAATATTTAAAGTGAGCTTTGTGATCCCTGTTTTTGTGTGCGAGAATATTTACAACGTCAGTGAAATAAGTTTCCTGTCGAAACTGTTAATACACAGTCTGTAGGCCGTAGGTGAATTTATCTGCCAGGACTTTGACCTCATAATAGACGAACAAATTATCCGTTTATCAACAAAATATTTAAAATTTTTTTCTACAGAACAGCGCCAAGCACAAAATGAGAAGATCGTATCTAAATCAAGGAAATCATGACTTGAATGGAAAATAGGATAACCTCAAGGTTGGTTGTTCAGTTTTTGTTTTTTCAAAGATAGCTTAACTTTCTGGGAATGCAAGACTTATCTGCACTAAATGGATGTCTGAATTTCAAAAACAGACAGGGTCAAAACTAATGCAAAACTGCAATACCAAAAATATATCTGGTTTCTTTAATATTTGATTGTTTTTAAATATTCTCCTGTTGAGATAGTTTTGATCAGAGAATGGAACCGCAAGTTTCACGAGACAGAACTATTTTCTAGTTTATGTTGATGATGACACACAAGAAATGTCATACGATTTTCATACGTTTTTTTGACCTTTAATCTCTCTTACCTTGTTACCATAGCAACTGTTTAGAGTCATATTTCTGAAAGTTTTTCTGGGTTTTTTTTCTTTAATTTTAAATGAATATGGCAAAGAAACCATTTGAATTTTGGTATATGACCAATGAAAATAATTTTTTCGACCGATTTGCTTCGTCCTTTTAAAATCCTTAATCACCAAAGCAGAGATAATTATGTAGCCAATATCCTGTATGACATCGAATAGATCTTGTTTATTTGATAAAAATAAAGTTGGTGATGATGCAACTTTCAAGTAAAGATAGTCTCTAGTTCTGGATGTCATCGCGAAAAAGACTTCGTATCAAGGACTGCTTCACGATATCGATTTTTTCATCAAACAAAAAATGCAGCTAGAGTCATTAAAATCTTTACGAACCAAAACTACCGAATTTTTCAAAATATGTTTTTCAAAGATTTTGACAGAAATGAATAGCAATTGATGAAAAGTAGGTGTTGAATTTGCAGCTTTTCAGACCACGATTTATATTACATAATTCATACTAATGAGACGATGATTGTTTTTTTTTCTTATTGTTTGCCCTTTCCCTTTTTCTCGTATTAAATATTATCACGAGCGCACTATATCGTCGCCCTATTGAGTAATAATAGAATACATTATTTAGATCATAGATCAAGGTAAACAGTCTGGCCTGGCACCAGTCTCCCATGACGCAATAGTAGACCATCAGAAGAACTATTCGGATGGTCCTGGGTTCGACTCCTATTAGGGGGATTTGGATATTGTTTCCTCCAAATATGCCAGTGTCATTCAGGGATTTATAACATCATCTTTCTTATAATTCAAACTTGATGGCCGACCGATTGATCAGTCAACTGACTGATGGACTGGCTTCAAGTTACTGGATGACTGAGAGACTGCCCAGCTGGAAGGGTGGCTAGATGGCTGATTGACTAAGTGTGCATTTGATTGACTGACACCCCTCCCCCCCCCTGCTATTCTCTTCGTAGACAAGCAACTTAAGCACTGTGAATGTAAAAGAAAAAAACAGCGGAGAAAATGACAATGTATTGTCTCAGGAGCGACGGGCAGATGAATCTACGAAAATGAACCTAAATATTACCCATTTAGAAACGCTTCTGCAGATCAAAATAGATTTTCGATTCAAAGTTTAAGCTAGGATTTGAATTATTGTCAAGGGGGTGGAGTGAGGGTAGGGGGTGGGGTGAGGGTAGGGGATGAGATAATTGTCAAGGATAGTAAAATGGAGCACAGTTGGAGACATTTATTGCAGAGACATGTTAGTTTGAATTCCACCTGCTTGTTATCTTTTTATTTCTGTTGTAGAAATACCGAAAAATTGCCGTGAAGTATAGGGTGTAGCAATCTAGCCAATATATTACTTGGTTTTGTTCTCGAACTATTTTTTTGCAGATAGACAATTTTTCTTGTAAGGCTGTAATCATGAGGAAGTGTTAGTGATGTGAACGTGGATTTGGAAGTTTCAAGCTACACTCTGTAATTGAGTTGTTGTTGTGAAAATTTTGATTACAGGTTAGAAAATTATGCATCTCTTTTGTTTTGTAAAGCAAACCACCATATTGACTTTGAAACAATTTAGAGACAATTAGTCCATAGGTCAGATCGCACTTCAATCATAACTGGGAAGTTAAAACGTCCCAGCTAATGAGAGGTTGATCCTAGCCCTAAAATTAAATCAGAGTCGAACGACGATTTGTCAAAAAAACAAACCCTGCTGTTTGGCTTGGATAGAATTTGTTGGATTTTATCTTCCTACTTTTTTTCGCGTTAGTGTTAAGTCCAACCAGCATTATCCAACGATAAATGTATTAAAAAATTATCTTTAAAATATTGTCTCGATGTGCTAAGCACACAGTTTGCACGCCAGTCGTTTGCTAGTGTAAAAATATTGTTCCGTTAGGGCATGTTTTTTGTTGTTCTCCTTCAATGTTTTAAACTTGTGGTGTAAATAAACAATTGTAATTCGACTTCAACAAAGTCGTATCATATAACTTCGCAGGAAGCTTTCTAAGAGCTTTATTCTACTGAAACTGTTTGATATAATACGTCACTGATTGATGAAAAAATTTGCTACTGAGAATTTCAAATTGCTGAGCCATTACAAAAATCGCGTACGAACGCAAGAAAAACATGCAAATTCGATACCAAGAGTGAATTTCAAGCACGCTATCTGACGATAATGGGAAACAAACAAAAAAATGAGAGAAATAAAAGAAAATTCAGAGAAATTGAACTTTTATTGCCTTCTAGTTGAGGATAATCCTCTCACCTAGTTTTAAAAAGTAGCTCAATTTTTATCAAATGGTTACTCAAATCCCCTCATTCTGGGTTTTACTTTTCTTGCGATTTGACTTAGTGTTTTTATTACGTGTAGTTTGTTGGATCATGTCAAAACTAACCCTCTAATTTACACAGTGTTTTTATTTTTAATTTTCAGTGTTGAGAACTTCAAGATGGTTTTAAACCTAGGACCATAAACGTTAGTTTCCTGCCAGGTAGTCGAGGAAAGAAGGGGTTGCAAAATTACTCTGATAACTTTTGTAGATCTTGATACCTTGTAAAAGAATAAAGTATTGGGAAACGTTGTTATTTAGACTCTTTAAATAACCCAGGAACAGAAAAATGTTAAAAATCTCCCGTCCACCATCCCCCACCACACCCACCTCTGACAGACAGTTTCCTAAGTCTTCATTAAAGTTGTCTACCTTGTGGTAGTAACATTTATTTCAAACGCCTACTTTTTATGTAACCAAACATCTGTCCAAATAAACATGCGTATTAGACAGATGTTGTTACCACAAGGTAGACAACTGTCATCAATACTTAACAAACTGTCTATAAGAAGGGGGTGTGGCGGGGGAAGATGGTGGTTCGACTTCCCAATTTTCTGCTCTTTCCAAAGATGACATTTTCCCCTCTTGATGTGGTCTTTTCTCATGAAATCTGCGAAGAGATGGAGAAAGAACTACAAATGAAACACAATGCATCGTTAAGATACAAAATATGACCGCAATACACATTCGTTTAAACTGAGCCCCATAAACACTAGATTCCTTAGCTATTTCTTTAGTCCTAATCATCATCATAAAGAAGTATTTTATATCAAAATTTTCGTCAAGAGGAAGAATAATAAGACTGCAGAAAGACTCATTCCAAAGACCACAAAAAAAAACATATTCACATGATGTGGTCGTTTCCGTTCAACTATAATTACACTTACACTTACAACTTGTTTCCCAAGACATTCTTTCTAAACTTGCAATCTTCACAGTACCTGAATGAGAAAAAATACGTCCAACTCGTGTAGAAACACTAAACGGTACTGAAAACTTACGTAGATGCACTCAACGATATCAGCAATAGGAAAATATCTATCAACCGTAGACTTAAAAATGCTCTATTTTGAAATGATAACGCTTTCCTGTACTATGCTAACTATCTGCCAGTTTTCAGTAAAGTTTTCTTTATCTTGGCGACGGATGTATGTTACGTACGTCTCTTAACCACATTTAAGAAGATAAAAAGTTAGATCATCCAGAAAGCAGCTTATCCATCAACTTAGTAGGCGACAGTAGCGCTATCTTGAATCACATCATAACCCATCTGAATCTTTCCTCCAAAATCACAAGAAGAAATAACGACATGGTAAGTAATGGAATATTTTGGTACTGTTGTATGTAGTATTGTAAAAAGGAATGGCTAGTGATATTAACATCACACAAAAATAACAATATTTTCTCTAGAATTCCATACCATCTTTTAAAACAGGCCGTGAATCAACTACCGTTTCTTGAAAAATTTAGCCCACATTTTCTTGGAAAATTTTATTCTTCGATATCCTTTGCTATCGTTTTTTTTCTTATTAGTTTGTATTCATCTCTTCAAATTAGTAATTTTTTTAGTGTCTGTTTAAGCTATTCAAGTGAAATTCTGGCGTTTCGTACAAATTGGAGACCATTTTGTGCGCCGCAGAAACACGATTCAAAATACGAGCAATGTTTAAAATGAGTTATCTTCAAATCTTTTTAGCAGTTTTCTTGGGTGAAACTAACTCCTTTGTGGGTCAGCTCTTAGTCACCCACCTCTTGTACAAAGTCCACTCTCTGTTTGGTGCATAAAGACAGTCCCGTGGCCGAAACAATAAACACACTCACTGCATATCCTTTTCCTTTTTTTTTTTTTTTTGTGGAACCAAGTCTTTGCATCACAGATGAGACCAGGGAAGAGATTTGTTGAGAGAAACTGACCCCTTTGTGGGTCAGTACTTATTCACCCATCTCTTGTACAAAGTCCACTCTCTGTTCAGTGCATAAAGACAGTCCAGTGGCCAAAACAATCAACACACTCACTGCTTTTCCTTTTCCTCCTTTTTGTGGGACCAAGTATTTGCATCACAGACTAAGACTAAGGAAGAGATTTGTTGGGTGAAACTGACTCCTTTGTGAGTCAGTTCTTATTCACCCATCTCTTGTAAAAAGTCCACTCTCTGTTCAGCGCATAAAGTCAGTCCTATGGCCGAAACAATCAATGCACTCACTGCATATCCTTTTCCTTTTTTTAGTGGGACCAAGTCTTTGCATCACAGACTAAGACTAAGGAAGAGGTTTGTTGGGTAAAAATGACCCCTTTGAGGATGATCAGCTCTTAATCCCTCATCTCTTGTACAAAGTCCACTATCTCTTCAGAGCATAAAGACAGTCCATTGGCTGAAACATTCAACAAATTCACTGCATATCCTTTTCCTTTTTTTGTGGGACTAAGTCTTTGCATCACAGATGAGACTAAAGAAGAGATTTGTTGATAGAAACCCACTCCTTTGTGGGTGATCACCTCTTATACCCCCTCTCTCCAAGAAACTCCACTTCACAAGTTTAAATTCACTGCCTAAAAATTACCAGCTGAGTTTTCATAGTGGCAAAAGGAAATTTTGACTTCTCAATCACTCAATACAGCAAAAACTGAGGTAAAAATATGAAAGGCAAACCTGCAAATTTAAGTTTACTTTGAGTTGTCTGGCACAGAGTTTTAAATGATATAAT